TGCCCCCAGGGTCAGGTCAGGGAGCCCTCGTGTCCTTTTGAAACCGACTGGCTCCACTTGTTTGTGCAAACGGGTGGCAAAGGGATAGATTCACATCCATGTTGTCCTCAAACATCCTTGAAGTCAATTTTCAGGAAAGCTGGTTTAAAAGCATGACATCTCTTGTAGTGCGTGATAGTGGCAGTATCCTGGCAGCTGAAAATTTACAATCAAGATGATGAATACATCTTTGCTGTGGAAACTGGCGTGATTTTTTAGGTCCTACAGCTTTGGCAGCTTAATCTTTTCTTGTACTGGCTCTTTCTCTGCTTCTCTGAAACTACTGTTCACCACCCTTCCTGGGATTTGTATGTACTTGCTATGGCAGATACCACTGAAATTTGAGAACTGTTTCTTTCCTGAGAGGAGGACAATCTCAACTTTGTAGCATGTTATGATAGTCACCTGTCTGGTGAGTGGCAATAAATGTAGACGTTCTTTTTTTTAAAGATGAAAATTCAAGTCTAATATCTCTAACTGAGCATCTTAAAGAGTGTCATCTCCCTTAGTCTTCTCCGTTGTTTTAATAACCTGTCTGGGAATGGTTGAATGCTGCATTTAATACACAAGCACACTTAACCGCCTTCTCATATCCTTCAAGCCATTGTTATGACAAAGCACAACAATATTGATTATTCGTTTGGTCAAGCTAAATAGCCGTGAGGCGGACGACTGCATTGAGATTGCTCTGACTGTGTTAGAGTCCAATACTCTCTGACCAGCTTCTTTTAGATATTCTACATGTGGAGGGTGTAATGTTTAATAACAAATTTACTTATTTGAAGATAATTGATGCTAAATACTTTTTTAGCAGAGTGATATAAAATATACTGAAATCACAATACAAATGTAAGTTACACTTAGCAAAATACAACAACTGCAATATACAGTTCAATCACAATATGGACATGTTCTCTGTTACTGGTGTCTATAATACACTCACCATCAGGATGCTGGGCGACCCCAGTCACTGGAAAGGAATACGTGGGTTGAAACCAGCTAAAGCCCATTGCTATCTTTGAAAATCTTTTCATAGAATCATAAAGGTTGGAAAAGACCTCTAAGATCATCGAGTCCAACCGTCAACCCAACACTACCATGCCCACTAAACCTCATCTACATGTCTTTTAAATACTTCCAGGGATGGTGACTCCACCACTTCCCTGGGCCTGACCACTCTTTCAGAAAAGAAATTTTTCCTAATGTCCAATCTAAACCTCCCTTGGTGCAACTTGAAGCCATTTCCTGTCATCCTATCGCTAGTTACTTGGGAGAAGAGACCAACACTGACCTCACTCTCACTACAACCTCCTTCCAGGTAGTTGTAGAGCGCGATGAGGTCTCCCCTCAGCCGCCTCTTCTCCAGGCTAAACAGCCCCAGTTCCCTCAGCCGCTCCTCATAAGACTTGTGCTCTAGACCCTTCACCAGCTTCGTTGCCCTTCTCTGGACACGCTCCAGCACCTCAATGTCTTTCTTGTAGTGAGGGGCCCAAAACTGAACACAGTATTCGAGGTGTGGCCTCACCAGTGCTGAGTACAGGGGCACGATCACCTCCCTACTCCTTGTTACTTGTTTATTTACTCCTTGTTAGTTGTTTATTTTTTATAATATCTGTTGTGCTGAGCCATGTGTACACTCCTCCCCATGCTGGTCTGGCTAAACCAGGGAGACATTCACACTCTTTTAATTAACTCAGTTACACTACTAGCTGATGCACTCAACTGACATAGCTGTTTATCTCAAATAAAGGTCACCCTCCAGCCCTCTTGGTTTTGAGATAAAGTCAGCATTCTTTGCAACACCTGTGGACAGTTACAGCCTGCATTATTCCCTAAGCTTCATGGGCAAGTCACTCTTGCCTCTCTCCTCTGAGCCTTCTTCCTTTGGAGGGATTTATTGGTCAGTCACATGCTGGTAGGTCTTGTGTACGCATTGACACTGCAGCAGTGTATTGGGAAAACGCTGCCATTGCAGCGTGGTATCGATTGTGTATTCAATTGTCAGAGCTGTGCTATGACCATATAGGGACATATAAGAGCAGGCCTGCTTTTTTAGGATTGCAGTGTAAAAGTTTGCAAATAAAATGGTCTCATTTCAATGTCTAGAACCCGCATCTTCCAGTTCATCACAACCAGGTTTCCAATGATATTAGGGGATCAAGTGGATTAAAACACAGGATTTCAAAACAAAGCCAAACACCTCCAATGTCTCGTCTGCCCAAAGCTTCAACTCCCCTAAGACTCCCCTGAAAATCACAGGCAATTTGTTAGGCACCTGACATTTTTACCATACCAAAAGTGATGCTATGTTTGAAACTGCATTAAATACTTTCTACTTGGGGTTATTCTTCAGAAAAACTCATAAATCGTCCGTGCTGGATGGCCACCTTCTCTCCTGCCCTCATGCATTTCCTCAGCATGCTAAAATACTGCAGCATGTTCAGCTTGAGCTGCTGAATAGCCTGTCACGTCAGGGCTCCCAGTCCCCTTGCCAGTGGGTTGGCCATCCATTGCGTCAGGCTGTCAAGAATGGGTCCTTACTCTCCTTGGCTGATAGCAGTGTATTTCAGTGGAAAACACATGTCATTGGAAACTGAATGTTATGCAGTGACATGCCATCACATCAATGGAACCGCACAGGGAATGGTGATGTAAGAATTAACCTTGGGCACATTTGGTTGCTCTCAGTAATATTGAGGAATGGCGGGGGCTGTGCTCACTGAATTGGTAATCACAAGGTGCAATCATCTCACTGGTTCCTTGCTGTTAGTGAGTAGGCAAGGTCATTCACAGTAATTTTCTATTTCATTGTTGTAGTGGAAAAAGAGACCTTTGATAAGGTTGGTGATATGAAAATGAACAGGTGGACAAATGGGACCTGCTTCTGCGTTTTGTCCTTGAAAACAAATTCTGGGAAAGAGAATATGCATGTGACATATTCAATGGCATGGCTAGTTTCAGAAGGAACATAGTAGAGGCATTTCAGGTACAAAGTGCACTGAGGTTTTTTTTCTCTTGGAGCAGGTGTGCCATTTTGTGGCCTTTTTGTTTTTCTCACAGATATTCATCAAATGTCAGGGATTTTCTGGTCTTCGTATTCTCTCAGAGTGTTTTTTTATCATTGGCGTGACTCCATGCTTTCAAATTCAGTTTTATGTCAGGCAGCTAAAATTCATCTGTAGTATCACTTTACTGATCATCTGATTTTGGGTCTCCTTCCTTGACTCAGATGAATCATTGGTCATTTAAAGTGAGGTGAAACCTTATGCAGAGTCTCTGTTGGAGAGGAAAACACTTGCAGCTCTGGTCACTTTCAGTCAGGTAGATCAACAGTTGCTCTGCATGACCATATGAGAAAAACCAGGAACAGTTCCTAGCAGGGACTGGGCAATGAGGCTAGAAAAACTTCAGGCATGAAAAGGGGGCAGTTTCTAGTTACCAGTGTGATTCACCTGGTGAAGACCCATGACGTGTTGTGTGGTGCATCTGTTATTGACTGAGAGAGGCTGATCAGATGCCTTGGTTTGAGCTCAGACTAATCCTGAGAGCTAGACGCCTCTGAATGCTGGCAAACACATTCATTCTCCTAGAGCTGTTAGATTTCCAGTTGTCTTTCAATCACCTTCCTTTCCTTTTACCTTCCAGAGGCCCCTTTGAGGGTTATGTGTTGTTTTGGAATGTTTTATCAAAAGTATCTTTGTTTACATGATAGGAAAGAGTACAATTCTGAATTTAGGTGCACTGTTCACAGACCGCTTGGTTTATGATAATGTATAATCATTGTGAAAAGGTATTTTATCTTCAGTTGTTGGGCAATCCAGGAAAAAACAAAACAGAAGAATGATATCGAGCTAGCTAGCCAAATAATAACTGATAGCATTGATCTCTGTGAATTTTGACAGCTGCAATAGGAACTTTGTCATCTTGCAGGAGTATAAATTGCCAGTGGAGAGACCACAGCCTTATACTGAAGGCATCATGCAAGTCCTCCTCTTGCTCGCAGCTGTAGGGTTTTGCTGCGGGCAGTACAACCCCAACACTCAGGCTGGGAGGATGTCTATTGTACATCTCTTTGAATGGCGCTGGGCCGATATTGCTCTTGAGTGTGAACGTTATTTAGCTCCTAATGGATTTGGAGGAGTTCAGGTAAGTTGTTTCCTGTGAGTAGGTAGGAAAATGGTATTGTAGCATTCAATTAATAAATCAAAATGCCTGAATCGGAGACAGCCAGGTCCAAGTAACTCTGGTGTTGGAAAGAGGGGGATGGAAGTAGTAATTGCCATTAGATGCAACCCTAGATCGTGCAGGGCCGAGAACTGTATCTCTAGCAGATCAGTTACAAAGGGGCACGCTTTCCTCTGAAACGCTAAGTTTTCCCTTTACCTTGTTCTGAGGGAAGTGCGTAAGCATTGAGTTTTGGCTTTCCTAAGGATGTCAGTATTCCAGGTAAAAATAATTCCTGTGGCTTCAGCCCTCCCATGTGTGTGTCCTTGAAAGCAGGCCCATGCTGGACCTGGGCAGCCCACAGGAACAAAAGAAAACGTCTTTCTTGCCAGTCTACAAGATGGACATCTCACAGACCTGAGCTTATGCTGTGGGAGAGAGAGACTGGGTTGGGCGCTAGCCTGCCTCTGAGGGCAGAGGTGCTAAGCGCAGATTTTGCCCTTAAAACGTTGAAATAAACCCGATTGTTTTCTTATCAAAGTACATCATTTCACCTGCAGGTTTCACCTCCAAATGAAAATATTGTCATTACTAACCCGAACAGACCCTGGTGGGAAAGATACCAGCCCATCAGCTACAATCTCTGCACTCGATCAGGAAACGAAAATGAATTCAGAGACATGGTGACCAGATGCAACAACGTTGGAGTAAGTGCCTTGAAAATCTGTATCTGATACGGCAAGAAGTGCTGTTTCAGCTGAGGGAAGTTACTGCTGCTGTCCTCAAAGGAGGCATAAACTGAGAATAAACTGAAGGGGAAAAAAAGATCAAATTAACTGGGATGTGGTAAAGCTCTGGTTATCACTTCCCCGTCATTACAAAAGATACTGAAATGCACTTACTGCTTTTCCAGGTTCATATTTATGTGGATGCTGTTGTCAACCACATGTGTGGGGCTGCGGGTGGCTCAGGCACCCATTCTACCTGTGGAAGCTATTTTAATGCTGGGAACAGAGATTTTCCAGCCGTGCCATACTCTCGCTGGGATTTCAATGATGGCAAATGTCGAACTGGAAGTGGAGAAATTGAAAATTATGGTGATATGTATCAGGTAACTTTCTCTGGCAAAAGTTTGAAATCTTTTTCCTTTTTTTTTTTAACCTGTTGTGTAAACATTACAGTAAGGCCAAACGAAGGGAGTAGTTTCTCACAAAACTTGTGCTTAGTCACCTGACAAGTAAATGAAGTAGTGAACGTAAGTACAAGAAAGGCACTTGTAGTGCAAAATATTCTAAGTACTGAGAAATCAAGAACCCTCATGTGGGCATGTGCAGGAGTTTGCTCCTGAACTGAGCCCAGTGTACACAACTCAGCTGGTGAGCTCTTTCTTATAGCTTATAAACTCAGCTGATCTTGATAAGGACCCCCCTTGGAAAATTGACAGCAGTGCAAGGTGGTACCCTGGTTGAGCGACTTACTCTTTTTTTGTAGATGGAATGTGTGGCATTGAGAGTGAGACATTGAGAATTGTCATGATATATCTCAGGTAAACCTAGAACTATAAATATATTTTTCGTGTACATCCGTTCTTGGGCTGTGGTTTCATTGCTCCCCTTTACTGTCAGACATTTTTTAAAAACAAAACAAAACAAAACCCCTCATGGAAAACAATCCAAATTGATAGTAGAGGTTAGCGTTGCTGTCAGGAACACCACTTCTTAACGGGATAGCTCTACTTGAGCAAATGGCTCAATTTCAGATTTAGACAAATGTGCTCATAAAACCTATTTAGGGATTATCGT